CATTTGTTGGTGAAGACCGTCGCGAAGGTCGCGGAACTCCGACTCCATAGCCTCGCGCTTCTGGGCCTCGATGTCCGCCAATTGCTTCCATTTGCGCGCCATCTGTGGGCAGAGAGAGGTGTTAGAGATGAGCGACCCGACAGCCGACAGACCGATAAAGAGGTGATTCACTCACTTCCCACTCCATGGATCCCGGGTCTGCGAATCGCGGCCCGAGTTCGCGCTCCAGGCGGTAGTCGGCGGCGTGAAGAACGCTCTTCTCGAGGACGCCCTCTTCCTCGTCGCGCGACTCGAGTGGCGTCACGACGACGGGAATGGGAGTCGCGGACAGCAGAAGGCATTCGTTTTGACACTTCTTGAGCGCCGCCTGAGAGGAGGACTTGCGCGCGAACTCCACGATCCCTTCGTTCAGCGAACGACCCCTAAGAGGACGACAGACGACGCGTGAGACGACAGGCAATAGACACAGAGAGCGACATACCTGTCGTCGGCCGACACGACGGCGCGCTCGACGGATCCGAACGACGAAAAGGCCAAATGCAACAATTCGTTGGACACGAGAGGCGGCAGTTGAGTGACGCGAATGGCGGCCGCGTGGGCGGCGAGACGCACGCGCAGAGTGCGGCCGTCCACGAGTTTGGCGTCGAGGTGTGCGCGCGCCGTCTCGGCGTTGTTTCTCGTGTCCATCTTCACGAACGCGAATTGGTTTCCTTTCCCGATATAAATGTCGGAAACGGCGCCGAAGTCGCCGAACAGCGCCCGCAACGACTCCTCGGTCGCCGATTGCGGCAAATTGGCGACGAAGAGACGACAGCGTCCGGTGAAGGTCTGGTCGCGCGACTCGTGCGGCGGCAGATCCCAAGCGGGCGCTCCCGTGAGGCGCGTCCACTGCGGCGGCGGTCCCTTCGACTGGGACTGCGCGCCGCCGCCGTTGTCCACGTGTTTGCGTTTCTTCTGTGCCGACGCCGACGATAGCGCTTTGTTTTGGCCGCCAGTGGTGTCGCCCTTCGGGTCGTTCTTCGCATTGTTTTCGCGTTTTTCAGACATTTTTCGCTCAAACGTCAAAACAAAGCGTCGGATCGACGCCTGCGCTCTGCGTTCGCATCGATTGAATCACAAATTGGGCGTAAATTACGTCAAAAATTTAATTAAAATTCAAAAAATTAACAAAAACTGAATCAAAGACTAGTTTTACAGAAATGACGACAAAATTGAGATCAAATGCTAAGAAATTTTGTTTAAATTGTGAGCAAAAGGATTGTTAGCGCGAACTCGAGTCGGACGCCTGTCTGCGCTTCCAAATCGGCGAATCCGACAAATTGGATGACGTCATGGAGTGGTCTTTAGAGCGACAGCCAATCGACACGTCTTTCCCGCACAGACCGCACGACACGGTCTGCGACGACAGCG